AATCCTATTTCTGTAGTGATACTGCCTCGGAAACCCAAGGAGGGGTCGCTATGAGTCGGGGCCGACTCGACGGCACATAACAACAACAACAAGTCTCAGGGTCATGCAGGTTGAAGTCTGCATGGTCCACTAGTCCCCTGCATTCACTGTGTCTGCGCACCTTTGATTTTCTTCATTCTTCATTGCTCCAGACGAGGAGAAACCAATTGCTGCATCTTGATGGCCACCTGCAAGCTTTTGAGACCCTAGTTGCTACTCACCAAAGTAGAACAATATTTTAGCGTAGTGTGTTATGCCAATTGAGCTTGATGTCCCCTGCAACCATGGCCCTGAGCCCACAGTCCAGCAACTCACTCCCTCAGGATGGCTGGCTGTGGCCTACTAGTTCTATTGATATGGACATTCTTACAGCACATACAAACAGGTATGTAGAAATACTGTCTGCCAAACTTATATATGGTCATGGCTATATTCCCTTTTGCCTAGACATACCTGATCGTTCAGCTTGTCTGCCGTATCTACCTGTACATTGTTTGTTATTACCGATAATGGGGTGTTGTGTAGGTGAAAAGTGTCCATCTTTGTTGTCTGTACCTCTTTTGCACGTCTCTGTCTCTTCCTTTTCCTTAGTGTTACTGTGTTGGTCACTCGCTTTTGGTACACAGACTTTCCCTTCACCCAAATCAGTATCTCTCTGTTACCGACCTAGCAATTTTTGCTCCCCTCCCTTCTCATCCCCGGTAACCAACAAAGTAAGTTTCCTTCCATATGTAAACCTTTCCTTGACTTTTTACAATAGGGGACTCATGCAGTATTTGTCCTTCTGTGCCTGACTTATTTCACTCAGCATAATGTCCTCCAAGCTCATCTATGTCAAGTGGTGTTTCACGAATTCTACATTATTCTTTAGTGTTGCATAGTATTCCACTGTGCATATGCACCGTAGTTCGGTTATCTGTTCCTCTACTGAGAACATGGGTGTGCATATATTCCATAGGGTTTTTAATAGCTGATTTTTTGGATACAGATGGCCCGACTTTTCTTCCAAGGACCGTCTGGGTGGACTGGAACTTCCAGCCTTTCAGTAGCAGCTGATGCAGTAACCCAGGGCCTCCTCTCTGGGTACCACAAATGTCAGTCCCTGAGCAGAAAGTGAGGATGAGGGCTGGGCTGGGGCAATGAGACTGGGCTTCAGTGTGGATTTTATTTAGTCCTGACTAGTCCTGTGGAGCAACCTTCATATGGCACACAACTCATGATGAGGATAAAATGGAACACAGAGCACTCCACAAAGATCAGGTGTCACTGCCATTGTGACTGCCTGTGTTCTGGAAGCTTCTCTTCTTCCCAAACCAATGACCACAGGTGATCTCTCTCCCGTAACCCCTACCACATGCTTCAACCTCATGGGGGGGAAGGTCAACCTTTTCCAACTGGAGACAGCAGGCACAGCCCACACCCCTCAGCCCTTACCTACTCACCGCTGTGGCCCCTTCCCGACCCGCCAGAAGCCGATGTCTGTGACCATACCTGGTAAATCATCTTCATCTTCACTGAAGACATTCGCGTTGAAGACGGGTAAATTAATATAGTCCATGGAAATCTTCCGAACTTCCGGGAGATAGACAGTCATCTGCCGTGGCTGGAGATGCAGCAGGCTGGTTTTATAGATTACTGGGGAAGAGAAGGAGGGCATGGTTGACAGGGACACGGCAGTGGGGAGCCAAGAGTCAGCAGAGGTGCAGGAAGGAGGGTGGAGGCTGTGGCTTGCCTGCCATTGGGAGACAGATCTGTGGCTGGCCAAGAACCTGAGTGCCCTCTGCACCGGGCCCCCCTGGTACAGATGTGGCCGTGCCTGCCACGGAGCTGGGCTCAGGGACAAGAAACTCTCAATCAAGCTCAGCCACTTTGCCAGTGGCTTGTCTACAGAATCACAAATCTTCAATGTTAAAGATATAGCTGGGACCTAAATCTTTTTCTGGAATGAGCTGGGGCATAATATAAATATTTTTTTAAACACCTCATTTGCAATCAGATGAGTAATTGAGTGGCAAAGGTTGTTTTAACCAGAGTACCACGCTTAGCATGCTCCGGCACCGGAGGAGCCGGAGAAAGCAAGGGCAAGTCAAAGGAGATGGGACATCCTGCGTGACGGTGATGCCACTCCTGTTCAGGACTGGCTCCTGCCTCACTGACTGTCCATTTCCACCCCAATTGAATCATCAGGTTGAGTTATACACCAGGTGGTTTCTTTAAACCTCAAGACTTAATCTGATTAGCAGGGACGCTTCAGAGAAAATCTACGTTGTGACTAAAATATTTCAAGGAGACAAGCAAATGTGACACACAATGCTTTCTTTCATGTTTACTAGGCCCTTTGGTGGCGCAGTGCCCAAGGCACCTGACTGCTCACCAGAAGGCTGGCGGTTCAAACCCACCAGCCACTCCTCTGAAGGAAGGTGGGGCAATCCTACTTC